GAGTCTGACATAAATTTCTCCATTGACATCTGTAGCTTTGGCGAAGGTCGTAGTTCTAGTTTAGTTAACTGGACATGTCACCTTCAACAAAGAGCCTCATTTTTTTAGCTGGAAGTTGTGCTTTTAAGTGCAAGTTGAAAGTTGGAAGGGTGAAATGCTCTTTCCGTGAATTCTGCATGTATGATGCAAATATTCCTAGGGCCTTTTGGTATACAGATTGGCATATGGAAGTATAAAGTGGTTCTTGACAGCACGTAAATTCCTTTGGTGTTGCTCATTGTTAACAAGGCTTTTTGTTCCTACTATATTGGGAGACAGTAGTGGGACTGAAGGATTAATCAGTCCAAACTGAGGCCTGGAACTTGGACGATAATTGTGAGCAAACATAAGAGAGATCATTCAGACGCTGCCGTCTTGGATCTCCCATGCCGTACGGTGCTGTTTGTGCCGTCAGGGTGTCCACGGGCCCCGCTGCCCTTCTGTCGGTGGCCGCCCCAGACCTGAGCATGTGGCTTTCAGCCCAGCTCTTTCCCGTGCTTCATCTGAAGTTTCTTCACTCTCTGGGTGACCTGCAAGGTGACGAGTACTTTGCCTTCACCCAGCAAATAATGTAATCAGTGCAATTAGTTTTATTTACTTCTTGATGGGCGAAGCACCATAGTAGGTCATTTTGGCAGAAGCAAACCTGTTGTAATCAAGTTGGCAAACCTCTTGGCCCTTCTCTATTATTAGTTCAATGTTGTGGAACAACGTATGTTTCAATAATAAATGAAGACGGCAACAGGATCATCTAGGGTCCTCCCTTTTCAATATTTACAGTTTTCTTTTTTCTTTTTTTTTTAGGGGGGGAGGCACAGCTTGCCATTTGCTGTCTTCTTTTCTTTGTTGGGTTTAACAACAAGATTTGAACCAGCAGGGTTTCCATAAGCTGGATATGAAAGAAAATCTTATTTTTGTCTTTGCACAGCAAGTCCATGAATGGATTTTTCCCAAGTGTCAACATTGTTACAACACAGAAAATTTTGTGAAACTGGTTTTTATACTACGTGCAACTTTTTTTCATGCACTGTTACGTTTGGTCTGGATTTCGAAATGACTTTTTAATTCAAAAGGGGAAACATTTATGAGCTCCATATACCAGAAAGGTTAAAAGCTAAATCTTAAATGCTAAATTATAATAAAGGACATAAAATGCCTGGTATCTCTGTAGGGACTGTAACTTTGTTTTAATATGTTCCTTTGGTTGGGTGAGTTTTTGGGGGCTTTTTTTGTCACAGCACAATGTACTAGAGCCTATCATTATTGAATATGCGTCACACAACGCATTTCCTGAACTGTGATCAGCCATTTAATTAGAGCTCTGGCATTTATTAACTTACCGTAGTATTGATTGGTGTTTACATTATAGCTTGACATCTTTTAGAGAGCTTCCATAGAGAACTGCTTTCAATAGTCTTTTTAAAAAATAAAAATTATCCTTGGGACTTTGAACTAAATAAAAAGACGGTTATCACAGAGTCGTGATACTAGTGCTGCAGAGGAGCAATACAGCTCTAGCGGTATAGTTTTTTTTTTTTCCCAGTTCATACAACCATTGTTCAGGAACAGACACATCACAGAAAACAAAGCACGGGCTTAGTTTCTGGCCTTAGACTTTTAAGTATGGAAAGCTATTTTCAGGGGAGCCTTTGAGTACAGTATGGTTAAAGTTATAATGTTGTTTTAATCCTATAGGTCATTTTAAACATTCCAATGAAGGTCCATTGCATTCTCTTCACTTCTGTTATTTTAAACCAGTATATAAATCTGTCACTGCAGGATGAACTTGCACCAGAACTCCATATCTGAATGTCCTTAAACATCGGGAATATCGCAAATCTAAGGCCCATTTTGCATGCTTACAAAAAAGTTTTATCTTTATAGTGCTGTTTACGAGAAAAAAAGTCTACAGAATGCCTATCAACATAAAGTGCTTATTGCTTTTCAGTTTCCGTAGTCAATGGCATACACAGAATTGTACGATATAACTAGGTTTATATTGATGTAGTCTCTTTATACACTCTATACACTGCCCAGTACCTGACTTTATTTATACTGTTACTGAGGAGCTGCCTGGGGAGTACAGTTGTTATAAATTCAGAATGAAACTCAAGCTCCAGGCTCTGCGTTCACTACTCCCAACACCACTTTTGGTGTGCAGGACCCAAATAGACCCTGACCACTTCTGCTGTTTGAAATCTAGCTCCTAATCCAGCTGTTGTATCTTGAGGCCCTGCATAGTGGCGTAGGTAGAATTTCCTGCCTATGTTGTTGCCAGACTAATATTTGCAAGAATCCTTTAGGACTAAAATAAAATATTTTAGGTTTATAGTTAAGAATCCAGACCTTCTGGAACACAGAATTAAGAAAGCACCTGCTCTCCCCATGGATGTTATAAAATAAATTAATTTTACTACCTTGCACTCTGCAGTAAGTCTACTTAGGTGTTTTTGAATGTGTCTAGATACTTTTGAAAAAGAATGAGTTTATATTTTTAATCATGATACCTGTTTCAGGTGGATCCAACATATACAGTGTGTTTTGTGTAGTCATATGACAATTTACTTTAAAAAATCTTTTTCCTTTTAATGAATATTTTGGGGAACTGTTCACAAGACAAAGCTTCAAACCACAGAGCTAGGTCTCTCACCTCCCTGTAGAGCGAGCAGTGTGTCTCCTGTACGGGTGATTCAGAGGGGACGCTAAAGTGGCTCCTTTCGCTCTCCAGTGACTTTTAGGGAATTTTAAGGAGTCCAGCCTTGGAGGATTTGAGTTAACTCTTGTGAATATGTTACCCCCAGTAGATCCCCAAATCAACTGGCTCCATTTGACTTGGCCACAGTAGCTGTCTCATTTATTTTGGTCCTGCTAATGAGAGTAATTCAACTCTTTTGTAACTGAATCCTTCAGTATGGCTTGAAGGGGTGTTGTTATTTGATTGACATAGTGAACACTACTAATATTTAGTGTTTTAATCCCTATGGCTGGTTGTATCCTTATGATAGATTTAGTTTGTATCTATCGCAGTACTCGAAGAGATTAGATGGTCACTTAAACAGTGCTAACAGTCTTTACAATCTACTGATCAGTGTTCAGAGGAGAGAGAGATTAGTGCAACCATTATGTAAGCATTTGTAGCACTTGAGAAATATAAACAAAGTGAGATTAAAAACCTTATCCTAATAATTATATTCCTTTGTTTACTCTAACTCTTGAATTCAGTAAAGTAGAATTACTGCTGCCTTTGTTAATACCATTAACCGTTGACACGTACCCACCAAAGGCTCCGCTGGAGATGTGTTCTCGAGTCCTTCATGGCTGTGTAGATAATGCAAACATAGGAATTTGCATCTGCATACCTTAGGATGCAGAAGGATCTGTGATACCTATGAATGTCATGATCTCCAGCTGGTGTAAATTAACTTAACTCCTCTAAAAACAGTGTAGACACCATGATTCATTTCATCTGAGAATCAGCTCTTAGATACATGCTATTTTAAATGAAAATCCAGGAGGACAGAATTTTCTGCACATGTGGTTTTTGAGTCATTCAAGCCATGTTGTCAATTCAAGCAATAGATAGGCCTGTATTGTTGGCAATAAGCAGCATTTATCTGCAGGCTATACAGTGTTCATTAAAAGCGCTTGCTTTCACTTAGTGGAGTATTAATAACCATGTAACTTAGCACATGTAAAACATGTCATGTTAGAAATGCATTGAAATAGGAGCTGGCTATTGCTTGTCATATCTTCACTAGGGAGCCATATAGGCATTATTATGTATGTTTTACAGAATTAAACAGCAGCTGAGTGCAGGGAATCAGAGATAAAAAGGGGTGAGCTTAACTGCATGACTTTTGCAAACCAGAGCCTAGAATAATATGCACCATTTTCCTAGCCCTTTCTTAATTCCGTCCCCTGTATTAGAATAAACTATTTCAGGATAGACCTGTTTGTTTGTTTTTAACTACAGCAGTCATGAGGAGAATGTTAGTTGACAGGAAGATGAAGAGCTTTTCCAAAACAGACATGGTAGCTGCATTACTAGGGAGAATATAGTGTAGAGATGGTTGGATCTTGTTAGTTTGACTATGCCATTGTTTGTAATATACGCTTAGAAGATACTACCTCTGTCATTTTTCTAGTATATAAAAGGGGTAGTCATGCACTGTGAAGCTTGCACTGTTTTTGCTAAGTAGATATCTGAGCTCAAAGTCTGCAGAGGAATATAAACTCAGCTTAAAGGAGTAACTCAGTGCTGGGCACTGGAATAAAAATGTTACCTGCACTTTTGAAATAGTTGATAATGATATGAACACTTTGCCAGAAATAGAATGTAGAAAGAAATTAGATGATTTTGAAAGTATACAACTGATTCCTTAAAGACCTTTCATATTTCTCAAAAGCTGGAGAGTAGAAGATATGGATGATGAACGTGCTGTTAAATGAAAAAAAATTGTCCATTTTCAGTGATGTTATTTGTTTACTTTTTCTTAAATATTTTTAAAATTCACTGATTCTGTTCTATAGGAGTAAAATAATGAATGCTGCAGATTAAAACACTCTCCAACTGCACTGTAGGTATCTTAATTTATAAATTGCCTGTAGAGAGAGAACTTGATTTTTCACATGAATGTGGTGATAATGGATTGGCATCAAAAATAATAATTATGATAATGTTGTTCCATAAGTAACCGAAGACCATAAACATATTCAGAAGATAAAAAGTACTTAATTGCTTTCCTACATAACTGCTGCTAGGGTGTATGTTTTGATTCTGTGGTTTATGCTTAACATTACAAATGGGCATTTTGTGAATATCAGGATGCTCACTGAAATTCCAGAGAAACCTTAAGTACATACTGTTTTTCAAAAGCTCTGATAAACTGAGGACACAAAGAACATGATTTCTAAGAGTTCATAAATAACCATTGTTTTGTTTTCTATCACGTTTATTACAGACTGACAAGAAAGAAAGAAGTAATGCCCTGAATGTTGCAATAGACAGTATGTGCAAGAAGACAAGAGACCTTCGCAGACAGGTAATGAACTTGAGGAACTGAAAAGACGCAAAAGGAGATGTGAAAGAGGCTTATCGAAATTACTATTTTCAGCTTTCCTAGTACTATAATTTGAAAATGAAGATTTTCTCTATATTAAAGAGATACTGGAGTAGTTAGGCTGTTCCACAGAATAAATACACCCCATTTTTCAAAACCGTGGGAAAAAACTCCCAAATGGGATATTGGCTGAACATATTTATATACATAGGCAAAACTCTGCATGTGTACGTGTGTAAGAGAGCATATGTACAAATACAGACTTTTTTTAGAAATATACCTGTAATGTATTTTGGAAAGACTAGATTAATTTTATTTTAAGTGAGTTTTAAATAAGTTTTAAATAAGTTTGAATCATCTTTCACTTCATCTGGTTCTGTACAGTTGTAGGAACTCATACCACACAGAAGGGTCCTTAGACCTCTTATGCATCCCAGTATCCTACAACTAATGTGAGACATGGACCAGAGCCCACAGCTTCATCATGCTGTGGAAGGTGAGCAATAGACATCAGCTGCGTTTAGGCCCTTGCAGCGGTAACAAGCGTATTGGAGAAAAATTGCAAATTATGTTGAAAGCATATAACATGCCAAGTTAGGAAGGAGAGCTAAAAAGCCACTAGCTCTTCCAGTTATGCCACCCCAACTAACCATCTGAAAATTTAAGGCCACAAAGAACATGACTATGCATTGCCTTCATCGCCTCTTGAGCTGTGGCTATTCGCCAGTGCTCTGGTGGAAGAATATCCCTCCCAGCTTTCTGCTTCCTCTTACAAGGCAGTTTACGCGTCCAGATGATGATGAAATTTCTTCCTGTCTCCCATAGTCAGACAGGAGAAGCCTTGAAAGATGAGATGAATGTAATGCAAATAAAGTGCTTACCACTAACTATCCAATTTCTCCTCATATTCTGTCAGAAATATGTTTGATTGGATACCCAGTGACTGGCATCACAAACTTAGTTTGTCTAGGAACTCTCCCATTCTCTCATACAGTCCATGAGTTTATTAAACGCCAGCTTATAAGATTTTAAGTTTCTTGACCCGATACTGTGCTTGAAAATCTGTTCAAGAACTTAGTTCCTGAGTTTATATAAATCTTTTTTAAAAATGTTTAGGCTTAATGTGTTTATGTCCAGTTTACAGTCAGTCTAGAACCAGTAGTTTTCTTTTACCAGAGCAGCTCTTTCTGATTTCTCAGTGTTTCCTTCTGGAAAGTATTTTTGAGAAATATTTCACCTTCTCTCTCCAATTCTATGTTCACACGTGTGACTTGCATTAGAATTGTTTTAGGAAGAGTTCCTTCTGTGTGTCTGAATTCCTGCTCTAGGAAACCTGAAATTTTGAGTTCTGTGCCTGCAGGTATTGCTGTAGGGTCTTGGTTATTCTGTCTCTCAGCACTTTTACTAAAAACACGAAAATTGTTATTTGCTTTATTTTTACAGCTTTTAGAGTACTTAAAAAAAAAAAAAAAAGAAAAGAAAAAAGAAAGAACTCTTGGGATGTGTGTACCGTACTTTGTACCGTAACTGGAATTACATTAGGCTTTTTTAGCAGATTCAGGGCTATAGTGTGCATAATATACTCTGCAAAATTGGATTTGAAGCTGGAACTTTATGAAGTTATATTTTGAAATCTCACCAGTCTAGTGCACAGTATGCGAAACTGTCAGAGAAGCACTGGCCCAGTCACTTTATCCCATGGACTTGTAGACCACTGCTGGTATCTGCTAGCACTTCAAGGCAAAAGTGTGTATCTCCCGTAAGAACAGTATATTCTGGAAGTTCCAAAAATCTCTGGCTTTTCAGATGAAATGATTTTTATTCACTTCAAGAACTTGGGTAGTATTTCTGGGGATTTTGAACTGTTTTGTTTTGATTTATTCTATTTGTTTTGATTTATTCTATTGAGCCAGAGGTGTGCGTGTCATTTCTGTGTGCAGTTTTACCTCAATCACTGCCTCCCTGCTTAGCAAAGCTGTATTTAGGAAAGAATTGCCTATTCCTTCCAATTTCGAATTCTCGGATAAATTAGCAAAGTCAATTCTTCCCTCCCATTTTTTTCCCAATGTACTGTGAATAATCTGCACAGATGTTTCTCCTGGTTGTTACACGGTTGTCAGTTTTTTTTAAAAAGTTATTCCCAAAGGTATTGTAATGTCTATGTGCTCCACCTTCGTCATGGATAGCTCCTTCTGAACACAAAGGTGATTGCATTCCCGGGATCCCTTTGAAATGGGAAAGAGAGATCCCTCACTAATAATGAAATTTTTTTTTCTAGGACTTTTGCCATTGTTGCACATGAGAGAATAGTTTCCTGTGAGCACAATTTTCTGTACTCATCAGGTTATTGATGCTAATAGTATTACAGCTACAGTACAGCAGCTGCTGAGATTTTCTTCTCTACACTCTACTGTTTGTGCATGACAACCTTATGCCCCATGTTTTATAAACAACGTGTTTCTGTGGGTTTTTTTCTCCATCTGCTTTGGTATCAAAACAAAAGCTCTTCAAACTTCCACTTCTCTGACAGTCTGTTCTGGAGGTAGGGATAAGACCTTGCACCTTAAAAATAAAACAAGTTATCAGACATCATCCTTCCTCTGCTTTCTCTCTTCTAATATCTTTCACTTACAAATATCAGATATATTTTAATTTTAGCACAATAAATTAATTTCCCTAGTATTGGCTGTGAGCATTTCTGGCGCTGTTCCTCTTTGGCTGTTTATATGTCTGCCTCTATTGCTACTTAGTTTCTAGCATTTTCCTCTAGAGGTGGCCAGAGCCAGAAACAGAGGAGTGGAAAAATGATCACTATGATTGTGATGAAGAGAAATTGATACCACTTCAGATAATTTGTCATTTGTCTTTTTCCTGTCCTTGTTTTACATTGCATTTCTTCATTCTTTCGTGCTACGTAAGTCAGCTTTTGAAAATCTCAGCTTCATGTATTCCTTAGCTAAACTGAAATAGGAACATAGTTCAAACTTGTTGGTATTCAATAAAGGCACGGCATTATCTTTTTTGAAGAAGAAGAAAAGTGTTTCACTTTGTTGAATTGCAGGATAGAAGAGTTCTTAGAATGAAATAATAATGATGATTGATATGTGAAAGGTTAATTAAAGCAAGCAAACCAGTTAAAAGCTATAGCGAAGAACTGAGTGATGGGAGATAAGATTAGGGTGCTGGTTTGAAAATCGGATGCCTCATGCTCACCACAAATGTGAGTGAGGTCGTTGCAGTTTCTAAAAGAAGACATTAAGACTGCGCAAGTACAACCATCTGAGCTTTGCAGAACCCAAAAGCATTTCTCCGGGAGATAGTGAACCATCAGCCCTGGGTAAGAAGGTTCCATGGTTTTTTGTTGTTTGTTATTAAATCACATTGGGCAAGTTCAGTACATTTCTCTCTGTGCAATGAACAGTAAGGTAAATGGACACACAATTAATGGAATTTTTAATTTTAATTTTAAGCAGGCGAGTGTGTCTGTGTTTTTCAGTTGGACTTTTCCCACATAGAAATTTTAACAGCTAACCCGGCAGGATTGGAGGCTCAATGTATTTTGTTTCGGTAGTGAAACCTTTTAACATCTCTTTCTTTTTCATTTTTCAATTTACGGAATGGATAAAGCTAGGACTGTAAACATGACAGTAAGAGTCCCCTGCTGTACTGGGATCTACTAACTTCTGTCTCTGCAGATTACTCACGAGAACACGTAAAGTGTCCATCCAGTATATCCTAATGCAATAAGCTGCAGTCAGACAGAAGACAAAAACATGCCCAACTTACCTGTAAATTTTTGGAAGACTTTTTTTGTCCCGAGTGGCTAGTGAGTCAATAGCAGTTGGCTTTAGATGGTGAGGCTATCCAAAAGTTAGTTGGTGGAGTTTGTATTCAAATCTTGTTTTAACCATCACAGGTTTCTCTACTATTGTTTCTGCTGTGCCTGTTTACTGCCCTCTCTATAAGGCTAGCAGCATCAAAAACATTTTGTCACTTTGTGGTTTTCTAGCTGTAGGAATGCTTACCTCTGTGGAGTTTCCGTGTCGATACTTTGGAGCAAAACGCCAAGTAAAAACATTTCCTTTGGTAACAAACCTCTCAGGCATGTTTAGCAATCTTTTGCGGTCTTTCCTCTGTAGTCAATAGCTTATATAACTATATATATAAATATATTTATATAAATATATAAATATTATAAAAAGCAAATAATTTATTTTGCAGTAGGGAATTGAGTGAATTTGATACTGTTGGTTACGTGCCATGTGAAGTTTTAATTGGTGTGTTTCCTGCAGTGGTCTATGATTAGAACAATTTTCATGTGCAGGTTCGTGGAAAATATCCTCTAAATGGAGAAATTTCCCAAAGATCAGTTGCAAGCTTATATTAAATCTAATTTAAGAGAGCTAATTGTAGTAGAATGTTACACTACTTTAGTAATTTAAGCAAGAAGTTCAAGAACAATTAATGCAAATGGAGAAAATTGAACATCAGACTCATTTATTATTGACCTTGCTCTATTAATCTGTTATCAAATGGCATAATCAGTAATCTCATTGATGTAATTACCATGAAGGCTACCATCTGGCTAATCAAAAGGTATCATGAAGTTTTCCAACATGATAGAAAACATCTGAGTAATTTTGCAATTATGAAAACACGTGATGTAGTGTATTTTGTATATGACTATAAACATTATTTAATAGCCTTCTCTCTTGGCATCTGAACTTGAAGAGAAGATGCTTGGGAGACAAAACCAGGTTTGGCCTAATAGTAGTTTTTCATATGGGGAATCATTTAAGTAGTCCGTTCTGTTCATCAAAGAACATGAATATGTGTCTGGCTCCATTGATTTCACAGAACTAATACATGTTTTTAGTGTCTTATGTATCTATATACACACTCACGCACATGTGCATGCACTCAAACGTGCAAACATGCATATTTAGGTAGTGCTGTGTTAAAACTGTTCCTAAAATTAAATTCAGTTTTCTGTAAAATAGGTAAATTGTAGCTCCAGTAAGTTTCCATCACATCCTGCAAATGATGCAGCAATAAACTGTGTACATGGTTTTGTTATAAAATACCAATAGGTGATAATTTCAAAGGTCTTTATCATGAAAAATAAATATATTCTACAATAAATAGTCCAATTAGCTGATACTAATGTAATGCTTTCTTTTGCAGCTTCGTAAAGCCATTATAGATCACATCTCAGACTCCTTCTTAGATACCACTGTTCCACTTTTAGTTCTCATTGAAGCTGCTAAAAATGGAAGAGAAAAAGAAATAAAGGAATATGCTGCTATATTTCGAGAACACACCAGCAGGCTTGTGGAGGTACGTTTGCTGGAGTTACACTTTTATTGATTGTATGGTGTAAGTGACATCCCACTACACGTTTCCTTTGCTTTCTGACATGGTAAAAGAATTAAGTTTGCATTTCAGCAAGGAGTACATTAATGGCCTAATTTAATAGTAAACATATCCCATTTTTATATAACAGTTAGCAGTAAGGCAGAAGGGTTTGTGGTAGGGGCATTTATGTAGTATTTCATTGCATAGAAATTAGGTGGGCGGGGGGCTGAATTCTGCTCTGAGGGATTAGCGCAAGCCTCTCTCAAGAGATGCTCAGTGGATCTTGATCAAATGCATGACTCTAAGGAGTAATAGCTCAAAATTTTGAAAGCTACTCCCGGCACTATTTGAAACACCATATCAGTGTTAGTTGTTTGCCAGCTTCCTCGACTTTGAAAGCTTCTAGCCTGTGGAGTAACATGCTGTAGAGGAAATGGTGCTCTGATGCACAGTTTAAAGCCATGACTCCTCTGTGGGAGATCTGAATTCCAGAGTTCTAGAAATATGGGTCCTTTGGAGGCCGAAAGCATACTGACATGTATGCCAAATCAATTTGTTTGCATACATTGTTCAACCATTATTTCTTAAGGATGCTCGCTCTTAGTAATGTGAAAATGGAATTTTAGGGGGGATATTTAGAATTTAATGGACAGTCCGTCCTGCAAACGCAAATAAATACTCACTGATTTAAACAGACTCATTCA